GTGAGTTTGGGGTCATTTATCGAAATTACCGGGTCATTCCTGCCCTGAAAACCCGCTGCAAGATGTCCCACATCCTCCTGGAAAAAGGAATTTTCTCCTTTCCCAACCAATCCTTGAGGTTCTGGAATAGTCAGAAATTACGGGAATAATTAGGAATAAGTTTAACAGGAATAGTACCATCAAATCCTCCCTGAAAACCTGCTGGGAGGTGTCCCAAATCCTCCTGGGAAAAGGAATTTTCTCCTTTCCCAACCAGTCCTCGAGGTTCTGGAACAGTCAGGAATTAAGGGAATAATTAAAGGAATAAAAATAAGAAAATAATTAGGAATAGCCAGGAATTATGGGAATAATTAGGAATAAGTTTAATTGGAATAGTAGCATGAAATCCTCCCTGAAAACCTGCTGGAACATGCCCCAAATCATCCTGAAAAAGGAATTTTCTCCTTTCCCAACCAATCCTTGAGGTTCTGGAATAGTCAGAAATTATGGGAATAATTAGGAATAAGTTTAATTGGAATAGTACCATGAAATCCTCCCTAAAAACCCGCTGGGAGATGTCCCACATCCTCCTGGGAAAAGGAATTTTCTTCTTTCCCAACCAATCCTCGAGGTCCTGGAACAGTAGGAAATTAAGGGAATAATTAAGGGAATAAAAATAAGGAAATAATTAGGAATAGTCAGAAATTAAGGGAATAATTAGAAATGACTTTATTAGGAGTAGTACCATGCAGTCCTCCCTGCAAACNCTGGAACAGTAGGAAATTAAGGGAATAATTAAGGGAATAAAAATAAGGAAATAATTAGGAATAGTCAGAAATTAAGGGAATAATTAGAAATGACTTTATTAGGAGTAGTACCATGCAGTCCTCCCTGCAAACTCACTGCAGGATGTCCCACATCCTCCTGGAAAAAGGAATTTTCTCCTTTCCCAACCAATCCTCGAGGTTCTGGAATAGTCAGAAATTAAGGGAATTGTTAGGGATGAGTTTAACAGGAATAGTACCATGAAATCCTCCCTGCATACCTGCTGGAAGATGTCCCAAATCCTCCTGGAAAAAGGAATTATCTCCTTTCCCAACCAATCCTCAAGGTTCTGGAATAGTCAGAAATTAAGGGAATTATTAGGAATAACATTTGCTGCTCAGATAATTCTGCCACTGCAGGATGTCCCATATCCTCCTGGAAAAAGGAATTTTCTCCTTTCCCAACCAGTCCTTGAGGTTCTGGAATAGCCAGAAATTAAGGGAATAATTAAGGGAAGAAAAATAAGAAAGTAATTAGGAATAGCCAGGAATTAAGGGAATAATTAGGAATAAGTTTAATTGGAATAGTACCATGAAATCCTCCCTGAAAACCCGCTGGGAGATGTCCCACATCCTACTGGAAAAAGGAATTTTCTCCTTTCCCACCTGATCCTCAAGATTATAGAATAGTGAGAAATTAAGGGAATAATTAAGGGAATAAAAATAAGGAAATAATTAGGAATTATCAGAAATAAAGGGAATAATAATAATAGGAAAAGTATCATGCACTCCTGCCCTGCAAACCCACTGCAGGATGGAAACAGGAAATTTTCCTGGAAAAAGGAATTATCTCCTTTCCCAATCAATCCTTGAGGTTCTGCAATAGTCAGAAATTAAAGGAATAATTAGGAATAAGTTTAATAGGAATAATATCTGCTGCTCATACAAACCCACTGCAGGATAGAAAAAGGAAATTTTCCTGGAAAAATGAATTACCTCCTTTCCCCAACCAATCCTTGATGTTCTGCAATGGCCAGAAATTAAAGGAATAATTAGGAATAACCCTATTAGGAATAACATTTGCTGCTCAGCTGACTCTGCCCTGCTTTTGAATAATGCAAATAAATAATTTTGGGTCTCAAATTGCAGAACAACGTCCTGCAATCGTCCTGGAGCACCCGGCCCATGAGCGCCCTGGGCTACACGATGGGAGCCAGGACGGCCCCGCGCTTCCAGCAGAGGGCTCAGGTGAGGGAAAAGTGCCAAAAAACAAGGGAAAAGCAGGGAAAAAATAACAGGGAAAAAGCAGGAAAAATACAGGGAAAAAGCAGAAAAAATACAGGAGAAAAACAGCAAAAAAACCCCAGGGAAAAAGCAGAAAAATACAGGGAAAAAGTAGAAAAAATACAAGGGGAAAAGCAGAAAAAATACAGGGAAAAAGCAGCAAAAAAAAAAAAAAAAAACAGAGGGAAAGCGGCCAAAAAAACCAGGGGGAAAGCGGCCAAAAAGAGGGGAAAAGCAGGAAAAAAAATACAGGGAAAAAGCAGAAAAAATACAGGGGAAAAGCAGCCCAAAAAAAGAGGGGGAAAACAGGAAAAAAATAGGGGAAAAGCAGCCCAAAAAAAGAGGGGGAAAACAGGAAAAAAATAGGGGAAAAGCAGGAAAAAATTTAGGGGAAAAGGAGCCAAAATATTGCCCAGCCCGGCTGTGCCATGCCCTGGGTGCTGCCATGGGAATGTGGAATTTTGGGTGGGAATGTGGTGGAATTTGTGAAATTTTGGGTGGCAGTGCGGAAATTTGGGTGGGAACATGGAATTTTGGGTGTGAATCTGCAATTTTGGGCAGGCATGTGGAATTTTGGATGGCAACATGCAATTTTGGGGGCAAATGTAGAATTTCGGGAGGGAATGAGGTGGAATTTAGGTGGGAATGAGGTGGAATTTCGGGAGGGAACGAGGTGGAATTTTGGGTGGGAATGAGGTGGAATTTTGGGTGGGAATGAGGTGGAATTTTGAGTGGCAATGAGGGGGAATTTAGGGGGGAAATGAGGTGGAATTTTAGGTGGGAATGAGGTGAAATTTCGGGTGGGAATGAGGTGGAATTTAGGTGGTAATGAGGTGGAATTTTGGGACGGAATGAGGTGGAATTTTGGGAGGGAACGAGGTGGAATTTTGGGTGGCAATGAGGGGGAATTTAGGGGGGAAATGAGGTGAAATTTCGGGTGGGAATGAGGTGAAATTTCGGGTGGGAATGAGGTGGAATTTAGGTGGAAATGAGGTGGAATTTTGGGAGGGAACGAGGTGGAATTTCGTGAGGGAATGAGGTGGAATTTCGTGAGGGAATGAGGTGAAATTTTGGGAGGGAATGAGGTGGAATTTGGGTGGGAATGAGGTGGAATTTTGGGAGGGAATGAGGTGGAATTTCGGGTGGGAATGAGGTGGAATTTCGTGAGGGAATGAGGTGGAATTTCGGGTGGGAATGAGGTGAAATTTTGGGAGGGAATTTCGGTGGAATTTTGGGTGGGAATGAGGTGGAATTTTGGGTAGGAATGAGGGGGAATTTTGGGTAGGAATGAGGGGGAATTTCGGGTGGAAATGAGGTGAAATTTTGGAAGGGAATGAGGTGGAATTTCGTGAGGGAGTGAGGTGGAATTTTGGGTGTGAATGAGGTGGAATTTCGGGAGGGAATGAGGTGGAATTTCGTGAGG